AAAAAGAAAGAAAGACAACAGGCTTTTTGAGGAAATTTTGAGGCATTGACCATAAGTGCGGCAGTCTTATTTCGTAACAAATTGCGAGACAAGTTGCAAGAAAGATGTTCCTTTTTCAAGTAGGATTAGTTGTCTTGCATCAAGTGGTTTTGCCAAACACTTCATTTTAATCCTTGTAAAGCCGATCCGAGGTGTGGCACGATGATAGATTTTCCAAATCAAGGACATTTGTTAAAAATCATACTTGGTCGATATCCTAAGGTTGTTTGCCGTTTGGAAGGAAGGTGGCAACTGGAGAGAATAGAGAATCGAGTAAGGACTTCGATTTAAGTCCCACTCTCCACCCCCCATCACGATTCTTTGTTTGCACATGACGTCATAGGCGCCATCTTGGTTGAATCTAACAAAAGAATTGTCAATGAATTGCCTTTTGTTGTTTTTCAATATGGCTGCCTTGTCACGTGAGTGAAACCCTCTATAGCAAGACAAGGCTTTACTTTGGCATTTATCTTTTGATAGCCATGCTGAATACTTTTGTTTTTATTTTTCAGCGCAATGGTTCAACCTTTCAACAAAACCAGTTTGTTTTGGAGCCAAAGAAAACCAATTTGGCGCCTTCAACATCAGAGCAGAAGGCTTCTTGTCTGCAATCAAACTCGTCCACGTCAGCGGTTCAGTCACGTGTGATAAGAACTCATGCGCAAAGAACCTGAATCAGTATAACAGCAAATGGGGCTGTGCGCCCAATCACCCTTTCGTGGGCAAGACACCGCTGAACACCGTAATCACCACCTCAAACAACAAGATCGTTTTCCCAAAGGACCACCACTTCACCCACGAACATACCAGCCTTTGGTACGACATGGAGCAGTTTGATTCCAACTCCAACTTCCTGGTCTTTCAGCGCTTCCATGATCCCCTGTACGTAGCCGCAGGACAAGAACTGCGATTGTGGTTCGGAGAAGACTTGAAAGATGTCAGCGAAGATGATAATGGCGGCCAGACGTGCGCACGTGTCTTTGGTCTTTACCTTTAAGGACGATTTATGTAGCATTTGGCCCCCCCCCCCCC